CTCTAACACCTTGCTGTTGAGGTAGCAGTTCCTGTTGCCTAGGTCGGCTGCTTTGTCCTGTAAGTCAGTGACCTCGGCTCTATGGACTTCTTCATGATGGTTGATCTCGTCATGTAGCTTGGCAACTGTCTCAAGCAGACTAGCTCGCTCCTGTGCTCCCTACGAGTCTCGCTCCTGGTACTCCCACAGAAGGGCCCGGTCCTGACGTCTCTTGTGCTCAAGCTAGGTCACGTACCTATCCTGCTCTAGTATGTGGATAGCTAAGACACGAAGGCATCTGTCCACCTCTGCAAAGATAACTCTGCCGGTTGTGAAACTCTGCTCACTAGGGGTGAGGCTGAGGTCGAAGGCCTGGGGAAGTAGGCGGAACTCTGTCATCTTTAGGTGCTCATAGTGGTCCCTCATCACTCTACGAAGTGTCTTGTGTGAGACAGCTCGCAGTCCCTCCTCAACTGTGTCATCTATAGTCAACTCGGTGAAAGCTGGGACAGAAGGTAAGGTAGTGCTAGCTGGGAACTCGACTGAGGTGATAACTGGTCCTTTGATTCCTCCTTCCTGAGCTGTCTTCCCGGTGCAGGTGACCTTGACAAGCTCGTCAGGGACTCCTAACATGACGAGAACTCGGTAGAGGGTCTGTGCAAAACCCCCGAGCTCACATAGATCGAAGGTAAGCTTGGCGTGGTCCAGAGGCAGTGGTCCTAGAGGCGGCCATTCGACGTTCGTTGCCATCTGCATGTTTTAAGGAAACAGGTGTTAGCAGGTCAATTAATAGATGAGCCTTGTATAAAAGTAAATGCAGGGTCGGTATATAATCGAAAGAGGGGCTATTCACGTCATATTCTATCGTTCATTTATGAGGGTTTCGTCCTATGGTCAAGTATGGCTCTGATACCAACTGAAGCGACCTGATTTCCGCGAAGGGAAATCCACAGAGTCGAAGTATAATAAGACCATTGTAGATCATATTACCCAAATTCTAGTCGAATATCACATCCATACAACGATAATATCAGAGTACAAATAGTACGGAATTACATAAATTATTACATCGCCGCATTGGCGGAATCAAAAGTAGCATTCATCCAGAACAACTTAAAGATAAGATCGCCAAACTTGAGCGTAGGAACGAACCCCTCAACCATCAAACTCCTCGGAGCTATACTCCTCAGCAGAACCTGTGTGCCAAAATTTATCAGTACGATTTGTACTGGCCACTCCCACCCTATGAGCATTGCTTTGTGGAAATTGGATGCAAGTTGGATATAATCAAAAGGAACCTATAAGGCTAGGGTTTCCTATGTATTAGCATATCAAGTACATAATAATAGTTGGTCAAGTTTTAACACCATCCACACCCCCATTCCACCCTATTTCCGTCTAGAGCCAGGTTTCAATCCTGGGATCGATATACCACCATCTTCACACCATCACCATACCACAACCATACCCTCGCTCAGTCAACAGGCCAACTCCCTCTCAGCACTGTCTCAAGGCCCGTAGCCCCTGGCTACGTCCGAACACTCACTCCCAGGGGGAGAAGAGAAGGACTCATCTTACTATCTAGTTTAAGCGAAACCCAAGAAAGGTCCATAGCCGATAAGTCGGCATATGTATCGATCGATCAACCATACACTCTGCAGATGTTTTACATAACCACAAGATCCGCCTTCCTCGCTGACCGTCGTCAACTGGGCTGATTCCGGCCGCTTGCTAGCCTAGGATAATGCCACTCTACCATTCAGCCCTGGTACACCCCAAGTCTAGTCTGGGGTGGCTAAAACTGTGAGTCATGAGCTAGGTCCACAAGGTCTCCATGAAGTCTTGAAAGGGTGTGGAGGAAATCCTCCGCGCCCCGTACCTCCCTCACACTGTCCGCTATCAACCTAGCAGTAGTGGCAATATCCTACCCAGTAGTCCGGTCGTCCCGCACCATATAGGGCGAGTGGTACGTAAGGCTTTCTGGTGAATCTGAGTACTAGTAAGTCCTTAGGGATGACCAAGCCAGAATGTCTTTATCAGGGTTTCCATTTACCGTGCCACCACAGCATTTACTGTGACTGGTCCATGTGGCATGCTGACGTCGGCATGACATCATCGGCTCGGCTCTGAGCTGACAAGTGGGGGTTTTGCTGACGTCAGCATGACGTCATCAACGTCATCCGTTCCGACTGGTGGGACCAGGGGCTCTTGGGTCGCTGACATGTGGGTCCGGTCAAAGTCAACATCAAGTCAACGGGCGAGTCAACGGTCAACGGGTCACATTCACTGACGTGTGGGGCCAGGGCTGCTGACATCAGCAGCTGACATCACCGTGACGTCATCATGACGTCACCTCGGCTGTGTTGCTACTGACAGGTGGGACCCGCATGACGTTATCATGACGTCACTTACTGACATGTGGGTCCCGAGCCTCTATGTCGCTGACGTGTGGGGCTAGGTCAACCGTCAACGTGTACCGGTCAGTGGTCAACTCGGACTGGGTCTCAAACGGGCTCTGGCAGGCTCGGGTTGGGCCGGTCTGGGCTGGGCCGGCCCAGACACATGGCATGCTGTGGCGCTGCCACATCGTTGCCATGGGCCTCCACTAGGCTTCGTCCACAGCTCGGCCCACACTGCGTGGTTCACGGTGGACTGGCGTTCACGGTCCATGGACCGTAGGCTGGGTCTTCGGTGGACCGAGTCTATGCTTCTTCCCTTTGGCCTGGTCCATGTACACCGGGTGCAGGCGCGTGCGACCGGTGAGGGAATCCTCTGCTTCCTTCCCCGACGTGCTCCCGCCGGTGATGTGCTCTCCGGCGAGCTCTTACGGCGGCGCTGGCGTCCAATTGAGGTGGGGAAAAGCTTCACCAGGCCTCGACGAACACGATGGCAGGGTCTAGATGGTGGCCAGGGCTTCCTAGGGCGTTGGTCATGATGGTCGGTGGCTAGGTTGTGGCGGTGCTCGCCGGCGGGGCAGCTAGGGCTGTTCTAGGGGTCCTGGTGCCTCGTTCCCGTTCAGACGGCTAGCGGGCGACAGGGTGAAGTGCCGACAGCGAACAAAAGGCATGGCAGAGTCCGCGAGCGGTGGTGGTGCACGGCGGAGCTCCGGCCGAGGTCCGGTGCTCATGGCCAGGGTGCTGTGGCCGGCTATTGGGGTCTCAGTCTACGCGGCTAACCTCTGGGCATCACGGTGGTGCTACGACAACGTCCTAGTTTGGCGAGGCGGCCGGGTGCACTAGTGGTGGCCACGCCATGACAGCAGCGTCGTGAGCGCGGCGTGCGTGTGCTCTGCTACGGCATCCATGGGGCTAGGAGGGGTCTCAGCGGGGTGCTCACCGCGCTGTGCTCGGCGAGGCTAGGCGATGCAGCGTGTGATCGACATAGTGACGATCACGACGGCGTCGGCTCGCGGTACGCTCTGACTTGATCGCGCGGTGGTGCTCCGAACTCCGGCGTGCTCCCGGTCCTCCTCCTGGCAGTGGCTCCGCCCTCCTTGTTCCTCTTCTCCCCTCGGCCCTCGTGCTGGGTGGTCTGGCGGATACCGCACAGCGGCGGCATGGTTGAGAGGGAGAGGCTAAGGCTCCGGGGTCTCTTTTATAGCCGAGCTCCATGCCTCCAATGGCGATCGGCATCGTGCGGTGGAAAGGCGCGCGACACATCCAACGGTGGCGTGAAGTTGCGTGAGCGCGGCGCAAGGGGGAACAAGGGCCATGCCCCGGGCGTGACCCCCTGGCCCGCTCCTGCCATCGCTGTCGGCTCCCGATCGCGTGGGCGGTTGATGCGTGGGCGCGAAGAAGATGAACAGGAAAGCCGACAGGTGGGGTCCGACGGGCAGTGAGAGCAGCAGGCGAAGCAGGAAGGCGCGTGGGCATGAGCCATGTGCTGGGCCGGGTCGTGGGCTGCGTGCGCGCACGCTGGGTGAAAGGCGGGCGTGGTTGGGTTGGCTGGGCCGTAAAGCCGAGCAAGCCTGGCTGCTGCGATGCTTCCTTCTTCCTTTTCTTCTTTTCTGTTTTATTTTTCTTCTTCTTTATTTGAATTCAAATTTGATTTGGAGTTTGAATTCAAATCTGGTGTACCTTATTCATTGGAATTTTTTTAGATGTGAGGTCCACAACACTCTTTTATATCTTAGGGACTTTATTTAGCTATTTTGTGTGACAAAAATAGTTGTAGTTTTGTTATACAAAAATATAAATAGTTTTCACTTTAAGCCTTTATTCTTTGGTTTGATTAATATTTACCTTATGGTTTATTACTTTAAAGGAGTTATTAAGCATTACATAAAGCAAATGGAAATCCAAATCACCATTTGAATTAACAATGTACGCTACATTTTATTTGTCAGTATTTTAAATAAACATAGTTAATAAATGACATGCCATGCTCATGAAATTGCTTAGTTGGGTTACATCTAATGCAACACTTAGGGTTGGCTCCTACAGATGTCACTCAATATTACATGGGGTAACAGCAAAAATTTTGTAGTTGTGATTTTTGGTGTGTGGATTTTTGGGTTGTTACAAGTGAGAAGGTCCTTCTTCTTATTTGAAATGCTGCGGGGGCAGTCTTAAACCCTCCCCCCCCGTCGAGTTTTTTTAACCTTTGGTGTTCTAATCAATTTCTCTTTCTTGTATGGATGGGGCAGTCTTAACCCCCCAGTCGAGTTTTTTTTAACCTTTGGTGCTCTAATCAATTTCTCTTTCTTGTATGGACCTACACAAAATATAATGCAGAATCATATATCAATATTACTAGTTTACTACCATACTTAATTACTCAGCAGTAGTACACTAACACTTACAGCAGAAAATTCACTCCAACTACACTCACATCCAGATGCAGCGCAACAAAGGCTAACAATCCTTTTTGCTAAACATTAGAGCTCATATGTGAGGCCACCATATGCACCCCACCAAAGCACTATAATTTCCATAATTCCATTTCAAACATAGAATTCCATTATTAGTTCATTGCTGATTGCTTTTAGAAAAAGGGAATGAAATAGTTATTAGAGAACTTACTATAATTTTTTCTATCTCTGTCTCTTATTGCTCCTGGCTGTGAGAAGGATTCACCTTCAGCCCTCTCATAGTCTTCTGTCTGCTTGCTTATCTTGTTTTGCTCCTCATCATCAGTCACCATCTTCCACATAACTTGATTAAACATGATTCTCGGTCTTCCTGCTTGTCTCCTATCCTTTTCCTTTAGGGCAAAGAACTTGCTTGGATTTAAGTATAGGGCTGCTCCATACAGCTGCTGCTCCATTTGGTTTTCCCATCTGTTGTCATAGTATTTTAGTACCTCTTTGAGTAAATCTGGTTTACGTTGCAAAGAATCCTTGATTGCGGCCTTTTGCAACATCCATGGCTACCATAATCTTAGGAGCTGCTGGTGTCTCATCTCCATCTGCTATCCTTAGAGCTATAAGAAGTGGTTGTGAAGCTCTTAGGCATAATTTCACTTTATTCCAAAATGGCATTGAAAGGATAATGTTCTCAACTCACGGGGCTTCTTGAGTGGTAGAGAAACTGGTAGCATGCCATTCATCACTAACCACTAAATTCCTCAATCCACTCCTATTCTTATGCAGGCTTACCAATGTGAGAAATGAAGTGGCAAAGCGAGTTATAGTTGGCCTCATAAGATCTCCTCCAATCTTATTTCGCATTAGATCTAGAACCCTCCCATGTTTGTATATGAATCTGGTCACATTCTGTGCCATGTTGATGCAAATGTGGAATTCCTTGATCTTCCCAATATCCTCCAACAACAAATCCAAGCAATGGGCTGCACATGGTGTCCAAAATAGATGCGGGATCCTCTCCATTAAAAGCCTCCCTACTGCCTTGAAGTTAGCTCCATTGTTAGTGACAATCTGCACCACGTGTTCCTTCCCAACCTTATCAATTTGCTTCTCCAACAAGCCAGCCAACATATTTGCATTTGCTATCTCACTTGAAGCATCAACAGACCCTAGAAAGAAAGTCCCTGCTAGACTGTTAGCAAGGAAATTGATGAGATGGCGGTGGCTTATGTCAGTCCACCCATCGGACATTATGGTGCAACCATATTCCTTCCAAGCCTCCTCATGCTTCTTCCTCAACTCCGTTGTTTTGTTCACAGCTCTTTCAAGCAGCGGAGTCCTAACATCATGATATGATGGTGAGCGGTACCTAGGACCATATTGTCCAATTGACTCAAGCAAAACTTCCTAGCTTCTTGAATTAATGACGTTCAATGGAATGCGATTCTCATAAAAGAAATCGGCAACATGATCATCAACAATTATTTTGGCCTCCTTATTTTTCTTTGTGCACTGCTCAAGTGTAGGTTGACTTTGCTTAGATTTGTGCCTCTCTGTAACTACTTCTTCTGGTGACTTGCAAAGCATGGAACTCACTGACCTGGACTATTTTTGAGTTGCTGGTTTTGCTGCAGCAGATATAGTGAAAGAAGTGATGGCAGCCTGAGCAATCTTCTTCTTGGCTTGCTTAACTTTTGTTCCAAAACTTGGTACTGGTACAGTTACAAGTTCTTTTGCACCAGCAGCATCTTGTTTATCTTCATCTTCTGCAGGTACCTCCACAAGAATAGTCTTTGAACTCTTTTTCAGGTAAACAGCTATCTCCTTCCTAACTATTGCTGGAGTATTAGGACATTTTATTGCATCTCCATACCCCAGCAAGTTGCTGCTTGAATCTGCATATTCTGGCTGGGACTACCTTCCTGCAAAATATGCACTGCACAAAGTCCTTAGAAGGATCTGGCCACCACCCATACTTCCATCCTGGGTCTTGAGATCTTGCCTTTCTCTTTTTATCAACAGCTTGGGCAGCAAGATCTGGAGGTAGTTTTGTTATATCTCTCTCAATTAGGGAAGGAATATCTTCCAGAGTAGATGAGGAAGCCGTGGTAGTAGGATCTGACCCAACTGATGAGTCTAGAACACCTTCTTCAAGGTCAGGCAGAGGCATATACACTTCTACATTTGCACATCGTCGGTCCACATCTGTAGAAGAACAACTTCTTAGAATGAACGATGGAGAGCCAGAGAATAGCAGAGGGACAACAATACATCATAGCAAGTAACCTAGCAGTTTAGCAGAGAGCCAGAGGGGCTGCAGAGTGAGGGATGGGGGAGGAGGGAAGAAGATGGAGAGGGGAAAGGCACATACCGTCGTCGGAGCAGCTCATCACGAAGAACGGCGACTCGAGGCGCACGGGGAAGACTGGAGGCGCGTTGAGAGGAGAAGAGAGAAAGAGCAGAGTAGCAGCAGCCGTCACGCACAGGAGAGAAGAAGAGAGAAAGAACAGAGCAACGGCCTCCTGTATATATATTACAGACCCTAGTGAGCCAAATTGGCAGCCCAACTACTCACCTGGAAGCTCAGTCAGGCAAGCCCAAAGAAGGCAGTGCCCAGCCTAGTCATGCAGCCCTATGAGCGGATGACTAATCGTGATCAGTCGTCGACTAGTTGGACGACCAAGTTTCTAGTCAAGCTAATTAAGTCGAAGTCTTTAATCGAGGTCATGGACCGACTAATCGTGATTAATCATGATTAATCGGATAACCTATAAACATGGAAGGAACATCGAAGAGGAACCCAGCCAGAACTCTCCAAATCCTTCACCTGTCTGCCACCGGCCACCTGCCTCGATGAAAGTAACAACGCCCGGTCGCAGAACAGAACGCTTTAGATGGCTAAAGACCAAAACCAATCCCAATTAACCCCAATCCAGCCCAAATCAACTTTTCCCCAAACGGAGGAAGGAAACGGAAGCCAAATAGAAAAGCGTGCTCTTTTTTCATCCTCTCGTGTGTTTGCGAGCGTGCGCCTCCCTCCCCCATCTCGCGATCCCAATTCGATCCGCTCGCCTGCTCTCCCGATCCGACCCGCCCTCCGCGGCCGGGCAATTCGGCCGCCGCTGCTCGGATTCGCGTGGACCCGCCCTCAGATTCGCGCTCCCCGGCGCCCCCAAACCCTAGATCCGCCGCCGCCGCTCGTCTCACCGCCGCCGCCGCCATGTTCTGGCGCATGACCGGCCTCTCCGCGGCCTCGCCCGTGAGTTCCTCCTTCCTCTGCTGCATCTCTCAGGTCGGGAGCGTGGGCGCACGGCGCTGTGACTGAGAGCTGTGGGTGTGGTTTATTTGGTTGTTTGCTTGTTTTGGATTGGGTCGGTGGATTGGATTCTGGATTCGGCTGTTGGGTTGTAATGCTCGCTTATTTTTGAGTATTTTCCTTGGAGCTCCGTGCTGGAATTAGTGCACGAGTGCGCTGTGGCTGCGGGATGTGTGCTTTTTGCGTTGATGAGTACGTGTATGCTGTTCCCGTGGATTTGAGGGTGCCAGTGGGATGATAGCGTGTGCTGCTGAAAGGAATGATATGCCTTGGTTCTGGTTGGGTTTAGGTTTTGGGAGGACTGAATCATCTGTGTGTGACAGCAGTTTCATTTTATGGCAAAGAGGAGGCTTTGTTTCTTTTGTTATGCTGAACCCATTATCTTGTGGCATTCTGTTTTATGAGCTTTTGCTGTGGACAGTTGTTTGTTATGCATCGGGCACTGTTGCTGCTGCAGAAAGGATTTGCATTTCACGCTGGAATAGTTTACCATTGCAATATGTCCTTCCGAATATTGAATCATTCTTATTCTTTCAATAGTCATTGCAAATAGCTTGAACCATGGAGGCCTTGTCTTTTCTTCTTCCTCATTTATTATTATAAAGAGGTTCTTAATTGTGCTAACTTAGTGTTCTATTTTTTTCCACAGGTGGATACAATTCTGGACAAAGAAAATTTTACATTGGAAGAACTTCTTGACGAGGATGAAATTATTCAGGAGTGCAAAGCACTGAACTCGCGACTCATAAACTTGTAATTTTCTTATTGATTTCTATGATATGAGCAGCATATTCAATCTACTGATGAAACTTAACTTAGTATTTAATTTTTGTGTGAGCTGTCTTATTATAACTTTACTTCTGACTTCTGAGGCATACAGTGGAGTGGTTGTGGCGGCAAATGAAATGCATATTAGAGAATAATAATAATCAATAAGTATGCTTATATGATATAATTGTGTTTTTATGCACTTATCTGGTACTGTTATATATTTAGTTTGTATTATCTGCAAAGAAGTATGCTTTTGTCTCTGGGCCAAAATGTGTTACTACCTCTACTCACTTTTACATGACATTTCAGACCAATTCAATCATTCTGTCTGAAACATTATGTGCACACTGGTGGGAGTAGTTCATTATTACTGAACATAGTGGATCAGAACACATTTTCTTGTTGGAGGATATTGCTGTATGAATTATTATAAACCTTATATCCGGGTTTCCTTTCTTGAGCATTGCACATGATAGTGTTTAGTTTACCCAATAGTACTGATTTCCCTGTATGTAACTTGAATTGCTATGTGTAGCTTACGTGACAAGGCCCAGGTGGAACAGTTGCTTCGTTATGTTGTGGAAGAAGTTCCAGAGGATGCTGAAAGGAAGCGCTCTTTCAAGTATGACCATTGATCACTAGTGTTGTCATTTTATGTAAAACTCTGAAGTTCCCATTCATTTAAACTTCTTGTAGGTTCCCTTTTATTGCTTGTGAAATATTTACTTGCGAAATCGATGTCATTTTGAGGACCCTAGTAGAGGATGAAGAGGTTGGCATTCTCGTCATATATTTGCCCTTTGAAGTTTTTCCTTGGAAAATTTCTAGCTGTAGATTATTGCATTATAGCTTACTTTATTTTCCTTTTCTCCCTGTCTGTGTTGCAGCTAATGGACTTGCTTTTCTCATTTGTGAAACCTGATCATCCGCATAATACATTATTGTCTGGTTACTTCAGTAAGGTAACTTAGTCAATCTGAATCATTTTTTTCTCAAATAATAACAAAGGAGAACTGCACGACATGACATTAAGATAGATGAAATAAACTGTACCAAGTGTACAGAGAACAGGAGAGATGTTATGCCTCCACCCTGCATCACACACCCTACTCCATGGGTATAGAAAACCAAGTCCCAGAAACAAAAACACTCAACTACAACCCTCTCAACCCACTAGACCATCAAAGGTCAGGGGTGAGTGACCTCATGAGGAGCACCTGGAGGGCAGAAGCGCCAGCTAGACACGACATGCTGCACTTGTTAGCCACGTTGTTAAAGAGAACCTGGTTTATCTGAATCATCAGATAGTGTTAAGTCTTTTGGAGAAGCTTGTCATTTTGGAGCTAGACTTCATTCTGTAGTTTTTGTGCTGAGGCTGAATTCAGTTAAATTATATAATTATGTATTGTAGGTGGTAATATGTTTGATGCTGCGGAAGACTGCTCCACTGATGAGTTATGTTCAGGTATTCCTCGTATCCTTTTGTGAAAAGGATAATTTATTTTATGTATTTAAATACAAAGTCTTGCATCACACTTCTCCTTCTCTCATGTTTTTAAGTTCACATGGTTTGTTTACTTGCTAGTCTTTTAACACTCGGTTTAGCTTTCGCCTATACTCTTGCCTGTATGAAATTTGCTTAAGCAAAATTGTGGTACCCTTTCACTGTGTCTACAAGCTAATAGTTTCTGTTAAACTCAACATTTAAATGGATTTATGGGACCTTTGTTATTGCTTTTTATAGGGGCATCCAGAGATAGTTGTCCAGCTTGTTGACCTGATTGGCATCACATCGATAATGGAGGTAAGTTTATCATGAATTATTTTTAATTAATTAATGAATTGTTGGGTGCATTTGGTTGATGTTGTCCCCTGAATTCTTTAGGTGCTGATACGACTGATTGGTGCTGATGAGGCCATATATTCAAACTATGGTGATACGTTGCAGTGGTTAGAAAATACAGATGTCCTTGAAATGATTGCAGATAAGTTTAGCTCGTCGGTAAGTTAAAAAAGCTCTAATGCACAGGAATATATTTAGGACATAAGCGATGGTGACATTGTTTGTCAGGAAATTGCAAGCATAAATTCCTATTTTAGTAATATACTCCCTCCATTCCGTTTTGGCTTTTCTAGATACATAGCTTTTGCTATGCACTTAGATATACACTATGTCTAGATACATAGTAAAAATAGTGTATCTAGAAATGCCAAAACGTCTTATAATTTGGAATGGAGGGAGTATTTGATTTACTGTTCTGCTCAGAAACAGAAACTTAGCATCCATTTGAAATGTTCTTACCTCTATGACATAAAATAATAGTGACCATCTCAATTTGTACAATAAAAGTAACAAGGAAACAACCTGCATAACACTAAACATATTGAAAACTGGAAAATAGATTTCTTTAACCCTCCAAACATCTAAAATTTATGAAACCTTCATTTCTAATCTAGTTTTACAGGCAGTGCTTTGGTTATGCACTATATGGTTTAGTGCCTTATCATAGATAGGTAGGCTAGGCTCTTATAAGTTGTAACAGTTTTTGTAGGTTGCTTTTCCATGTAGGAATACACTATGCGTTGACTTGGACACCCAATTAAAATAAATACTCCCTCCTTCCTGGAATGATAAGCATACTTTGTATAGGGAAAAGACAAATTTTGTAAACCTTGACCAACAATTATTCAAATTATGTACAAGTTTAAGACAGAACCTGCATCAATAGATTTGTATTCAAAATGCCTCTGAGGTGATATTGATTTTTGCTCACATGACAATATATTATAAGAGAAATTAAGGGTCAAAATCTATTTTGCGTTACTTTTCCCTTATAAAATAGGCTTAACGTTTTGGGGCGGAGGGAGTATTGAAAGCCCATTCCATGAACAATCATTTCTTCCTAGTCTCCTCTGTTACTATATTTCCCTAATGCACCTTGCAGATAAGCCATAAATCATTGTCATTTCTTCTCAAATTGATAGTCTCCCTGTCCATTTGACTCCCTATCAAATTGCACACATATCTAGATATCCTTAATGACCTTTCTGATAGCTTGATTCAGTTACCGGTGCAACCAAATTGGCATAGGTGAACCTTGAAACATGTACAACGACACATTGTTGAATCTGGATGCACCATTTCTGCTTGATCATTCTTTTCTGCTGTTTCATTCAATGCAACCTGACCAGTTGCTGATGCTGGCTCAGAGGAGCTGAGGTGTGTAGATGAGAGAAGTTGCTTGTATAGCTCCATAGGTGGCCAATGTGTTTGATTCTCCCAGCTGAGGTAGAATGAAGGTGGAATGGTAAATGAGGGGATATCTTTTTCCCCCTATAACTAAGAAAACTTAAATGCCTTAGTAAGCATGTGAGCCAATTAGGGTGGTATGTTAGCAGCAAAACCAACTGATAGTGTTAGGGGGGTTATTTGTACTGGGATTTTATTTTTGGGAGATTTTTCTTGTTCTGGAATACATACTTTTCATAGATTATTAAATACCATCTTTGATAGTTGAGGGTGAAAATTAGACTTATGACATTTGACGGGATATACATACTTTCTCCTCCCATAAATATTGTAGTGTTAACACTATTACTGCCCAAGTACATTCTATGTTGCAAGAAAGATCGTGGTAGAAATGTTTCCTAGCAGAAAAGTTCATGTGTATTATTGCCAAGCAGGATTCTCCTGAAGTGCATGCCAATGCTGCGGAAATTCTATGTGCAGTTACTCGGTGTGCACCTCCATCTCTTGCTGCTTGAAAATATGCAGTCCAAGGTATTCTAAGTTCTAACTTCATTCTACTGTCACAAGTTACTCATTTGAGAATTTTTTTTGTCAAGAAACAATGTACATATCTTGTGTAGTGTACTGAAAAGTATGCTCCATGAGTTATAAAGAGGTCTAAAATGCAGTAACTGTATATCTGTAGAAACCTCACCCCATACAAGTGGGCATTTCATTGTTTAATTCCCTCCTCATGACTCAAGTCTTTTTTTTTTGTTATGTTCTATGAAAATTATAGTTTTGTTGGGAGGTTGTTCCATCATGCTCTTGAAGAATCAAGACCCAAATCTGTTCTGGTTCATTCACTGTCAGTGTGCATATCGTTGCTGGATCCGAAAAGACTAGCATCAGCTTCATATCAAGCATTCAGAAGTAACTTAAGTCATGGGGCGTTGGTCACGGCCAGTCCAGAGACAGTTGATGGTATGCTTGAGAGTTTAGGTGAGTGTTGGATATTTCATGCATATTTATTTGGTTTGGGACATCTTGCTTCATAATTTATAGGCCTTATTAGGAAATCATATACTATCTTGCTTCATAATTTCTTGGCCTTAGAAATATATGCTAGACACCGTTTCATATTCTATATTCGTTGATTTATCGGTATGACTGACATAAGTTTTTAGGCAACTTGCTGAAGTTATTGGACACTTCGGCTGCTGAAAGCGTGTTGCCAACAACTTATGGATACGTGCGCCCACCTCTCGGAAAACACCGTCTGAAGGTACAAGATGATGCACTGCCCTTTTACAATTAACCATGGACTTCAGTGACCAAATCCTATTGCATAAACTCTTTGTTTCTCATATGAACGGATTTACATGTTACATATATTCAGTTTTATTTTTTACTTATCTATGCTCACCATAGTTTTGCTATAATTTTCTACTTTTTCTGGACATTATTGTGGGTGAGATGTTTGGTTGGTTCCGTTTTTGTTGCCTTGTGCCCAAGAATGGTTAAATATAAATTTCCTTTATTTATTTATGTTTTTGTGCCTTTTAACTAAAGAAAGATCAGTTGAAGTGCTTGAGTATTGAGTGGCTCTTCAAGAAAAACAGTACTACAAATATTCAATCGAAATTACAGTGATTCACTCCTATCCGATCCATCTCCCTCATCCTCTCTATGTATGCTTCTTTCCTAAGCCTTGAGCAGTTGAATACTAAAAGAGAAAAAAGGATCCTTGGATCTGTAAAAAATAGAAAAGCATCAAGCAAGGAACACAGCTTTATACCGGAACACAGCTTTGTACCTCTATGTACAGTATCAAGAATGGTTCATTAAGCACCTTCATGGAGGCTAAGAAGGCTCTGTGCGTGACAGCATGGCTTTGAACGATGGAGATCATTGCTGGTGTGGCTCCACATAGCAGCTCAGGACCCTGGATTTCACTTCACTGCAGACTGAGGTGAAGGACAATGTGTTAATGTGTCAACTAAGATCATTTAGGGTGCTGTCATCTAGCACAGGTGCTAGATTTTGGCCACCTGGATCAACTTAATGATGCTTCTGGAAAGATCGAGGCTGTGTTAGCATTTGCTTGTCTATATTGCGAAGCAAACATACCTCAAGCACATCTCATCAGTGTACTGAGTCCTGACCATGTATATGGGTCCCTGGACATTGACGAAAAAGGCCGATAGAGAACCTATCCATGGCTAGACCTGACAATGGACTTGGATTATCCAAAATCCAAATGGGCTCAACCTGCATTGGATTTAATTGGATGAATGCTGTTTGGATCCAGATATCCATTGCCACGAGACCCAGAACAATCTGATGCATTTGGATACCAGAAGGAAATATCCACAAGTCCATTGGACTTCGTTGGACACATTGGTGGCGGCAGCAGCCACTTGTTACCGGGCAGCAGCTGCGTCCACTTGTTGCCACCCTCCTCCCCCTCGGCAGCAGCATCCTCCGGCCGCCGGCATATCATGGGTTCATCACTTTGTTAGGCCGGCACACATTTACGCTTATGGCTTTTTAATCCGTTCCGCCCTCCGCTTCTCGTTCCCCCACCCCACCTCAACCCAGCCATACTTGATACTTGTGCTTCCTCAATTTGGTCCGGCGGCCATGGCGGAGGAGCAATAGCGGAGGTGGTAGGAGGGCCACCACCTGTGCGCCAACAGCTGCGGCTTCTTTGGCAACCCCAACATGCTAGACCCCGGCTCCAAGTGCTATTGCAACCTGAACAAGCAGCAGCCAGCAGGTGTGGCGCCGGAACCTCCCGCCCTGTCAACCTTCCAGTCTTCCTCTTCGGTGGTGTGGTGGTCGCGGGGCGCAGCTATGTACGTGGTCTCTCCTGAGCTAAAGCCTTTGGTGACAGACTCTGCAGGTGCCAAGGCGAGCAGGTGCTGGCAGCTGCGGAAAGCGCATGTGCTGACAGGGTCCACGTGCCACTATGGTGCCACCTTCTGCTGCGGCGTGCATGCCTGCGCCTTTGGCTTCCAGGCCCCTGGCTGTGACGCCATCACGTGGCCAACCCTGTCGTCATTAGGAATTATTTGGATGATTGGATTGATGTGGTAATGGACTGGATTGGATTGGATGTCCTGCACATGCTAGTGGTTTGGATTGGATATGTGCCTCACTTTATTTGGACTCACTTTAGTTGGATACATGCTAGTGGGTCTATCCATGGCATACATGTGTGTGTTTTGATGGCACAAGTGCGAGTGTCTTCCACTAGATGACATTTTATTGGTTTTTATTTTGTCAATGTTATTGTGCCTGCCATTTTTCTTGTTCATTTTGGTGCTAAACTGCATTTAATCTTGTATTTTTTTTTTCAGATTGTAGAATTCATCTCTGTGCTGCTTACAATTGGAAGTGAAACTGCTGAAAAAGAGCTAATAAGGCAGTCAGCAATAAAGCGCTCGATTAATTTGTTCTTTGAGTAAGTGTGGATATTATTTTTTGGAACTCTTTTGTTTCTCCTGTCAAAAGCCCCCTTTTTATATTTTTTTTTTGTAACACACAGGTATCCATATAACAACTTTTTGCACCATCATGTTGAGAATATAATTGTTTCTTGCCTGGAGGGTAAAAGACCTGAAGTTGTTGAGCATGTTCTTCATGAATGTGATATTGTTGGTAAAATTCTTGTTTCAGAAAGGCTTTCATCTTTGTCGACTGAGTCTAATGGGGTAAGTTATCAATACACTGTAACCTTTTTTTACTTTATCCTAGCAACCTAATTCCTTTTTCATCTTGTGTCTTCTATGCTCAGCCTACTGTTCCCTCTGAAGGGAAAACCCCTCCAAGAATTGGAAATGTTGGTCACATGACAAGAATAGCCAATAAGCTTATTCAGTTGGGCAACAGTAACAACACAATACAGGCTTACTTACAGGTTAACTTTCCTTTGACAAATCTTTTGGCTTAGGATATACGTGGTTTTCTGCTGACTATTGTGTTTGATTATTTCTTTTGTTTTAATAGGAAAATAATGAGTGGGTTGAATGGCAAACAAATGTGTTGGTCAAACGCAATGAAGTGGAGAATGTTTATCATTGGGCTTGCGGGTATGTTCTGTTTTCTTGTATCCTATATCTGCTATCGGTTGCTTTCGCTTGTCTAAACATTGCTGACATTGCTTTGCTGCGACAGGCGCCCGACATCATTACATGACCGTGGTAGGGACAGTGATGATGATGATTTCCGGGACAGGGATTACGACGTGGCAGCTCTTGCTAATAACTTAAGTCAGGCATTTCGTTATGGGATATACAGCAATGATGACATTGAAGAGGTGATAGCTTTTAGAGTAAAGAGCTTGTTGCTACTGGCATACTTATTTCCCAGCGTCTATTTTTTAATGTACTTGTCCTGAGGGGAATAGATTGGTTTCCCTGTATCTCATATAAGCAAAGTCAATCAGCTGTATGATGATGCTAACCATTTCATGTTTGCTTTTGTAATTTTCTCGTAAATGTACTCATTCTAGAGTACTGCTACATATTAGTGATACATGTTGGTTTTGTCAATGCAGGCACAAGGATCACTTGAACGAGATGATGAGGTAACTTGAGGGCGAACTATGTCTTGTTTATTGCTATCCTGCTCATTTTAGTTGTAACATGCAATGTGATAGCTGCAGTTTCCTGAATATGAAAGATTTTGATGCAATCAGCTTTTTATGTAGAAAGGAGAGACATAATTAACCTGTTCTATTGTTTTTGCTCACGTAGAAAAAGGTTGAACTTCTCCCATATCTTAGTGGACTGTTTTTCTTCATTCTCTTTCAGGATGTGTATTTTGATGATGAATCAGCTGAGGTGGTAATATCTTCTTTGCGTCTGGGAGATGATCAGGACGGGTAATTTGCTATCTTGAAATGTTCTGTCACCCTTAGTTTTTATGTGATGGCTGATAAATTATGCATCTATGTGTTTATAAGCAGCTCCCTCTTTACAAATTCAAACTGGTTCACATTTGATGGAGAGAGAGGCCTTGATGACCGTTCATCTGCTTCTGTTCCTTCATCATCCCCCAATTCTGAGGAGACTTCACTAGAGACCGAGGAAGCTGATGATGGTAAAGTCATTGGCACCGAGGATGAAATGGAAACAGTATATCTTGGAAATGGTAGTGCCGAGGAGGTAAAAGATGTAGCAGAATGTACTGAACAGCCAAATTGTTGTACTGAGGATGAGCGATTGAAAAATACAGAAGGGATGGATCGGCATCCAGATGCTTCAAATAACGATACCAACATATGTACAGACGAGGCTGCCTCTGCTGCAGCAGAATCTTCAGCCCCATCAGTTGAGATAGTGGCAGAGAAAACAGTAGATGAACCATTAGAGGCAGAAAGAACAGTGGATGAACCGGACGAATCATCTTTGGACAGTTCTGTCTCTGTAGCTTTGCCAGCTCCTGTTAATGGTAGTGAGCCTGCCAACTCTGAAGCTTCTTCTGAACAAGTTGCCCATGACACTGGTGTGCAGCAACCAGTCAAGGAAGCTCCTGACGAGGATGTTGATGCAAAGAAAACTGATGCAGCCCAAGCAAGCGAGTGAATTAGCAACATGTTGGACTGAGCTGATCAGAGCAATTACTTGTGAACTGAAAACTCTGTAGAGTGTAGCCTGGGCATTGATCTTGCTTCATGTGTGCTCAGCTGCCACAAGATAGTCTGAAGCAAACTACTGTACAATAAGCAAGTGATTGTTCTGTCATCAACCGTGGCATATCACTGTACAAATGAGCACCATTGACTAACGCACGTAAGTCGCCTTGTCTGAAACTGGTCATTTTCTTTGAAATTCACCCTCCAGTTCATGTGCTTTGGTGGTGGTCTTCATGGCATGGTATATGATACCTGAAAGAACATTCTTTGGGTGGCAACTGGTTTTGGCTACTTAGTCTTCTGTTGCTTTAGGTTAACTTTGGAACTGTAATATGAGTTGTGATGTTATTTCTAGTCTAGCTATTGTTGTAATTTTTTAGGACTCTACATGTGTCCGTTCGACTTGAACAAGTTAATTTTTTTTATAAAGATTCGTTACTGTATTTGAAGACTCATCTGATCGACGGCTCCTCGTCTCCACCCCCACGTCCTCGTCACTCGCACGCTCGGCATTTACTCCAGTTAAGCGTGATTGCGTGTCTGAATTTGCTAGTATTTTAAATTTGAAAACACTTCTTTATCGCAGACTTTTGGCAGCATTTTTTTTAAAAAAGATGGCAGAATTCCTTCTCTCAATTAAAAGAGGATAGACAGTTTACAAACAGCAAGGATCAAAGTTTTTAGGGAGCATCCTAGAGAATTCGTGCCCTGAAACCTTAGAAGGGGAATCAGCAAAACTCGAGGAACCAGTTGGTCTACTCTACATCAACAAACGTCTCTTGCGTAGGTCGATATCTTTTGCATCTTTTAGGGAAAATTTGAAGACTGCCCCGCTTGGTGTGTCGTTTTGGAGTTGTTTAAAAAAAAAATCCTACCGTAGATGACCATATAGTTGAAGTACCGCTATTGATCCTTCAGAACCCTTCGAGCGCCTTACACCAAAGGCTGCTCTCCAAGGGGGTCAACATCATGCTAGACTAGTTCCACATCGAAGTGTTCCCAAGTCAAAACTTGGTTCCAAACAATTTTGGCAAAAGGGGCTAGACTAGTTCCACATCGAAGTGTTCCCAAGTCAAAACTTGTTCCAAGCAATTTTGGCAAAAGGGTAAAAAGCAAATATAAGTGCAATCCGGTTTCCAGCAGTCCATTATACATGACACAATTTTCCTGATGTGGCCATTCTCTTAGTTGCATGCAGGTAAAGCAAATATAAGTGTAGGCCGGTTTCCAGTGATCCATTACACATGACACAAGTTTCGTGATGTGGCATTCTCTTAGTTGCAAGCTATCTGCCGTGAGTATTTTCCTTTGTATGAGTGAAGTAAAAATTTTGCATTACTTTTCTATGTGCTTCCGAAATTAGGCTCGGTCGCTACGGTACGCTGAGTGTGTGGAGAATCTTTATCCACAAATAGTATGAAAAGTTTGTTTTTATGATATTTATAAGTAAATATTTTTGTGGTTTGCAGTTTGCACGAAAGAAAAAAGATATATCAAGGATATATTTTAATTCGATATAGAATTAATAGTATATTATCATATTATTATCAACATTAATTTGTATTATGTATCCTTTGATCATCATAAAATAAATTATAGATTTAAAGTTTTATTGAAATGGCAAAACATAAATAGATATGCATTATTCCTATTTCTGTTCTGAACATTTGATAGTTTTTATTTTCGTTGAAAACTTGAAATGCCGTTTGCTAGTCAAAATAAAATACGCCTTTTAATTCGTTCTTGAGAGAGTCGAACGTAGCGTGTAGTTCCATACATTAGCTTGAGAAAGAAAGAATCAACGACTCGATCTCCTCAGCATTTAAAATGGAACTTTTCGTGTCGGTGCTTTTTACCGGTTCGGGCCGAGACGTCTGGTGATGACCGCCATTTTCTCTATCCTTGGCTACCTGTCGCTTCTCGCCCAACTCTCTGAAGAAGCAGCGCTCCTCCTCTCGCCACAAAGCCGATGCAGCCTCTCCATGGGGTCGTCGTCTTCTCGCGGGGCCTGTTCGTAGAAGAGCGGCTCGGTATCGATGCTCCCGCTTCCGCCGGGCCCAGGCGGATCCTGGAACTGCACGCTCGGCGCCGCCTCGAGATGGGAGAGGTTCTGCTTGACCGCGCTCATCGTGCGTTGTATGTAGGTTTTCGAGTTTTTGTTCTCGCGTCTCTTGTCCACCGGGTAATGGAGCTTGTAGCCTTGGCTACTGTAGTAGGTGTCGTAGCAGTGCACCGGTATGTTGTCGTCGATCTCCTTGCCGATGGCCACCGCCGTCTCGTATCACCAGCAGGCGGCGACGTGGTTGACGGCCGGTGTATCCGCCGCCGACGAGAAGGAGCAGCGGCAAGTTGAAGCTCCGCATGTAGCTGCCGCACTGGGCGTGGCCGGCGATGGACAGGTTAAGCTGGCCAAGCCTGTCGCCGGAGAGCGAGTCGCCGCCGCACTGCATCACGATGGCCTCCGGCTGGAAGCCTGGAACACGTCGACGACCCTTTTCATGATGGTTTTGAACATCTCGCAGTACCCCTCGTCGGCCACGCCCTCCATCAGCGCAACGTTCAAGGCACGGTACTGACCGGCCCTTCGCCGACGTGGCTCACGTATCCCCTTTCCTCCGGGAAGAATTTTTGGTGCGCTGGTGGAACGACACTGTCATCACCTGGTTGGAGTCGAGGAAGGCCGTCTCGACGCCGTCGCCGTGGTGCACGTCGATGTCGACGTAAGTACTTGAGGAGCGCCTTATGGCGAGCACGATGTCGTTGACGAAGCAGAAGCCGCTGGCCTCCGCTTCGCACGCGTGGTGCATGCCGCCGGACCAGTTGATGGCGATGTCGGCTTTGCCGCTGCCGAGCGCGCGCGCCGCGGCCAGCGACCCGCCGGCGTAGCGCTGGGAGTACCCAGAGGCCGGCTATGGGCGGGTTGTCGTAGAAAGTGTCGCCTTTCTTGAGCACGCCTATATTGTGCGCCTTTGCTGCGCTCATGGTCGCGCCGCCGGCGTTGAAGCTCTCCGGGGGGTGAGGTTCTGCAGCAAACCGACGTAGTCCGCCTCATGGAAGATCCTAATCTCCGCGTCGCTGGCGGGCCTCGTGAGAAGGCGTTTCATGTCGTGGAGCAGGCCGTAGGAGCGGACGAGCGCGTGCGCCATGTCGACTCGGCGGGGCACCATGTGTGGTCCTCGCCGTAGTCGACGTTGGCGATGCCGGCGTCGTAGTAGTAGCACACCTCCCGCTTCTTGCCGTCGGGGCACGACGGGGACGGCAGCGAGTTGCCGCTCGTGTCCATCGTCACCAATCAACCAAGCGACAGGGGATGCAGCACTATATATATACGACATCCAGGACCCGGACAGCATCGGAAATTCGGAATCGACTCCAATAAGTAATTCGCAATCCGGATTGGAAGAAGCGTCCTATGAGTTGGAGTTGGAGTTGGAGTTGGAGCCTGAGCCTGAAAAGGACTGGAGCGAAAACATCACTCAGAAGTCAGGCTCATGATCCAAAGGGGCTAGCTGGCCTTTATTGAAGTCACGTATGGCCAACACATTCTGAGTGGTGTATCCATGTCTTTCCATATGTTGTACTATCTTGATAGTTTGGTGAATTTTGTTTGTGAGGTGCTCTCCGCGCTAAGTACTGTCTTGATAGTTGGCACCACAACAGGTACATGTGTCCTATCTATTGCTCCAATGCAATTATCGGAGTACAGAGAAAAAAACAAGGAGACTGTAACCTATGATGCACAGTCCTAAATCAGGATCTACCGGTGAATGGCCCTTGTTTGGTTTTGGTAACTAAGTCACAACCTAGATGGACTAATATGTGTTAATGTTGAGATACAAATGTGATTAGTCCACAAGTACACTAGTGTGAGCAACTTGACCTATGGAGGTGGAGATGGCTTGGATGTGTTGCAAAGCTCACTTGTGTCATTGAAGAAGCTTATTGCATATAAGACATGACATGGAGTCATTTAACTTGGCTTCGTTGGACCGGTTGCAAGTGTGGAGGGGCTTTGGAGCGATGTACCACACGAGGCGGAGAAGCTTGAGCAAGGACTTGGCATCAATGGACAAGGGCAACGGTAAAGAGCAAGTAAGGTTATGATCGATAAACCAATAAGATCACATGATGATGTGAAGTGGATCATATCATTCAAGGAAGATCAAGCCAAGTGTTGACATGTGTTGTGATGAACAAGCGGCTTGACGGAGGTTGGTGCTTGTGTGGCATCGAGGAGATGAAATGGAACACGTAAGCTAGGTATAACTTGTAGGGCATTTCATTTCACCAGTCTAAGTTGAGTAGAAAAATGCTTGACCGGGTTTAGAATAGATAGCCGTACTATAAAGAGAGAAAATCTTTTAGTTGCAACGGTTATCTAGTGCTGCTAAGTGTGAGTTTTCATATGCATATGCATTGCACTCAGTGACTTGGTGAGAATGCAAAAGAAAATCCTTGAAAAACCTTTGTGAAAATAATTTGTGAAAATGCTAAGATGATCCTAAGGTGGTGGTGTCCCGTGGGGCAATACTGTGGTTAGCATGTTTTCAAAGGTTTGCAAAAATTTGAAATCGGTGGCGAAATCTATGGGTTGGATCTTGGATTGGAATTCTGGGTTGATCCATTGTGTTTTGGACCATTTTTTCAAATGGGTTGTGTAGTCCTTTGAATAAGATTTCTAAAATGTCTAAGATCATCAAAATTGAAGTTCGGAGCTAAAAGTTATGGGCGTTTTAGTTTTCACGCCGAAATCTGAGAGCCCATACCAGAGCTCCAATTATGACCGGAGGTTCGGAATATAATCGATTTTTTAGTAGGTCCAAGCTGCAGGCTGAGAGTCCACCGGAGCTCCGCTTTGGAAACCGGAGGTTCGGTTACAGGCGTTTTAGCCCTAACGGTCAGATCTCGATAGGGAGCCGTTGGGAGACCGCCTACTGCGTGGACCATTGCTGGGCCTTGGGTTTGCGCTGTGGACAGTGGCCGATTGGAGGATAAGGTGAGGGCCTTCTACTCCTTTCCTCCACTCCACTCCACTCCTCCTCCCCTCATTCTTGCTCTTGGAGAAAAAGAGCTAGGGTTCTTCCCCTCCTCTCTCTCTCAAGCTATGTGCTGAAAATTCCTAGGAGAGATTGAGTGCCCTGTGTGGGTGATGTTAAGAGGTTGAAGATCCACCTCCTCCCCTTCCTCTCCCTCTCAAGCTTGGTGCCAATTTGAGTGAGGGATTGAGAGACCTAGTGTGTGCATCTGAGGATTGCATTTGGTGGCACTAGAAAATCTTTGTGATTTAGGGATTTCTTGTTACTCTTGATGATTGCCATCACCTAGACGACTTGGTGGATTGAGGTCTCCATTGTGAAGCCCACGTGAAGGTTGTGCGTGGCTCCAGAGAAGGATTTGTGAGGGGTATCATGGTTGTCCCGTGGGAGATCGCGAAGAGCAACTCTAGTAGAGCGAGGTGTGAAGAGCGTCAAGGGGTCCGGCCGGGTCGAGTGCTAGCTCGTGGTGAGCACTACACATGGGAGAGTGTGACTTGAGGGTCACCACTAGCAAGAGGACGGGTGACAACCTTGAGCTTGTCTCAATGGGGAGTAGGTGATTGTCAATATCACCAAACCTCGTGATAAAGTTCACCGTGTCATCATCTTCACGTTGGTTTGCTTACTCCCAACACAAGCTTGTTTTTTATCTTTCATATACTGTGCTTGTGTTGTTGCTCTTGCGTAACTTGTTAGCTTGTGTAGCTTGCAAGTTGCTCTCTTTGCTTGTGTAGCATAGAAGTAGCTCTCGTGAGTAACTAGTTGGCTTGTGTAGCCTTACTAGTTACATTGCTTAGTTTGCGGAGCTAAGTAATTTGAGCTCTCTAGTTTGGCTTGTGTAGCCTTGCTAGTTGAGAAGTGCTAGTGTGCTTAGGCTTTGTGTGCTTTGCTCACTAGTATGTGTAGGAACTCTCTCGTTGCTTAAATACTAGTTGCATAGGTTTATGTGACCTTACAAACTAGAATTATTTAGGTGAGCTCTACCTAACCCGGCACCTTAGTTGCTCAATTAGAATCTTTTGTAAGGTTCTTGTGAACTTAGAGGGGTATAGTCTTGGCTAGACCGATTAGTTTAATTCTGTATTTGTTTCAGTTAGCCTATGCGATTAATTTTACAAAGAACTATTTATCCCCTCTAGTCTGCCATCTTGACCCTTCAACTGGCCTAATGATATTAGCTGCAAGGTTGCTCATACTAGCCAGTACTTTAGCAAACTTCCTACTACATGTCTCTTTTGATCTCACAAAACGATCTTTAGCTTGTCTAATAGACTGAGGGGCACCAGCTATCCATAAAAACAGCCCTAAAGCCTCCACTGATGATATCTTCCGTGTGGACTTTAATCCAATGACTCCACAAGCAAATTATGAAGTTTATCAAACACTGTCTTGTTCATCCTAAACATGATGTAGCAAGAAGTCCTATTTCCTAGTGTTTTTATGACCCATTCCTATCCAGTTTCTGTAGCTACTCTCCTCTCCAATTGTTCATGTACGAGTCAAAGTAGTACATACCAATCATGCCAGCAATCATAGCAATTCTTCGCCTCCTCTTCAAATACCTCAAGTGAAACTCTTTTCGACCAGCCTTAGCCCTCATCCTCTTTTCGACGAACATCATACTCATCATCATTCACCTGTGTGCACATATGAATTATCATTAGCAAGACAAAGAGCAAGAATAAAATGGACAGCAGCAAGATGTATAAAAATGTATAGCGTCAAGGTAATAAAAAATGCATCACTTAACAGCATCACACATTAAAAAGGTTCGCCAAACATTTAAAGGTTCACATGAACGTCATCACACATTGAAAGTTTCACTTAAGCTACTACATCCAATCACTTAACATCATCACACACTTCTGTCCCAGCACCATGTCCTCAACCACAAAAGCCTTCCTTCATTGTGCTGATGTTGCAAAAGATCTTCCGGTTGTATTCATCTCGAAACAACTTAGTAGCCATGAAGTACTCCTCTGTATCTTCAGTTGCCCCACACTCCACAGCCAACCTCTGACATCTTGCTACGTCTTCTTTGAACGAACTTGGAGCGAAGATTTTGTGTGCCTCCTTTCTGTCAGCCCCTTCGTCAGCTTGACCAATGTATCTGTAGTGCTCCTCCTCTTGCGGCTGCTGGTGCTCATTGGACCGTTGTCAAAGCCATCTCCATCTGCATCTTCACCTTCCTCATCCCCATCTGCATCTTCAGCAAATTGGCTTGTCCAGGGATACATGAGGAGGATCCATGGCCGCGGGTGACTGGGAAATGAGAACTCTTGCTCGCACGGACGGGACCACCGGAAACTTGCCGCCATTATCCACATCGGGTTGACCAGAAACTTGCCGTTGTCCCGTGCCCAACGCGCCTTGTCAGTCCGCGGATCCAGCGCGACAACATGGGTGACCGTGGCGTCCGCGTCGGCTGCGTGGACGGCGCCCAGCTGCTTGGCTAGCTTCAACATGGGGTGCTCCCCGGAGACGTCCTCGAGCGGAATGAGCCGGCTGAACGCCACCGTGCAGCCACGCAGCACCTCGCGCCGCACGGCCCTGATCACCTCCCTGACGTCGGAGCAGCGGCCGCGGAGGACGGAGTCGAAGAACCCCTGGTGGACGCGCGTCAGGACCTGGAGCGCCACGGCCAGGGCGCCGTCATGTTCCCGCTCGTCGCGCCTCAGCTCCGACAGGAGTTTACCCCATAGCCGAACGTCCGGCAGCTATCGGCGAAGTAGAGGTACGGGTGCATCAGGATCAGGTTCTCCTGGTGGTCCGGCCAGACGTCGCTGGAGTCGTCGAGGATCACCACCGCGGCGGCCTCGGCGCCCGGGACGACGTCGAGGCTCTTGCTGTCCTGCCTGGTGGACTCGTCGCGGGACACGACCCTGCCGCCGAAGTAGGCGCCGTCCGGGTCCAGCAGCTTGACGACCGCCCTCGCGTAGTCCCGGTTGCCCAGTGTGTAGACGCACATCTCGAACATGGCGCTGGCTTGCTCCAGGAAACCCCGCGCGAACGGGCGCAGCTTGGTGAGCATGCGAACGCGGGCGGAGCCCAACCGGAAGAGGCCGGCGGTGGGGTCAGACTTGGCGTGCCGCGTGAGCCCGTTGGCTTGCTCGACGGGGGAGAGGCGGTCATCGAGCCCCGTGGAGTCGAGCAGCGTGTGGTCCAGGTCCAATATGAGGGTCAGCTTCCTCGTGCGCAGGAGGGTCTCCAGATCGGACGCGCGCGGGATGCTCGTCGACGTCGAGGCCGGGACGGCCGCGGGGCCCTCGCGGATCTTCCCAGACGCGCCTCCTTCAGCTCCCCTCTCCTTCGTCGCGTCCAGGCCCAGGAAGGAGAGCACGCGGTGCGAGGGGCAGGGGGCGGCTCCTTCCGTGTCCTCCTCCATTGCCCCGGAAACGAATCCGGGGTCCGGCGGACAGCGCGCGTCGCCGTCGCCGTCGCCGTTCCCTCCTTGCTTGATCGTGCTCTTGCGGCGACGACAGCGGCGGCGGCGGGACCCTCGTCCTGCCATCGAGGCGGCGGCCGGGGAACGCCAAAACGAAACGAGCGCGGGCGTTGGAGAGCGGCGGCCGCGGAAGGCAGCTGTCGTTGTGCCGCTGCCCCTGCCCGTCTTCGCGGCTCCTTGCAGTGGAAGCCGAAGCCACTGCCACTCCCACTGCCACTGCGGATGGAAAAGGGAAAAGCGGCTCCTTGCAGTGGAAGCTTGTGAGGCCCAACTCTCCCAGTTGTAACCGAGGCCCAGTAGAATGCAGCCCAACTCACCCAGCCAACGCAACCGCAGGCCTGAACTAATGAGCCAGTGTTTTATATATATAGATGGCACGTGGAGACCTGTAGGCAACCTCGAGTTGAATAAGCCTCTGCCCTTCTGTAGATTCAGTTAAACGACCATTTCATCTCTCATCCCTGTCTTATGTTAAGTGTCATGATGGCCGGATGCATATGTTATATGTGAGGGGGCAATTGTTTCCCATTTCATGTAGTAGGAGTAGAGGAAAAGAATGTTTTTACAAGCAGTAGGGGCTGCAAACGAAAAAACATGAATGGGGATCAATTGACATCCCCCTGCGCATATGGGGACCTTGTACAGAATGCAGAGGAACTACTCTGCTCTGATGTAGCACATCCACCTTGATTGCTTCAGTGCCCGGTCCGTTTCCCTTCCAAATATTCCTGGTTGTGTATATGATGATTTGTATTCAGCGATGGTCCAGTGGTTGTGTCCTTTTTCCTCTGCACATTGTTGACCACCATGTTTACCAAGCGTTTGTTGTGATTCTGTTAGGTTGCTCTAGGAGGCAGGCAACCATATTCCATACCGCTCTTGAGTCTTGACTAATTGCTTCCGTTCTTCCGTTTGCAACATGTACACAGGCACACAGCTCACAGGCAAACGGAATTACGGAACAAACGTGCCTACATCGGAGACCACCGAGTCCGAGTCCATTGCTTGACTCGGAAACAAGCTACTCCAGCCCAGCCGCCCAGGCCATATAAAAGGAAGAGACAGCCCTGCGAGCGATTCTCTCGAGTCTCAATCAAACCAGGCAGCCTGTTTGTTTGCCGTGGCTTATCGTAAATAATCATAAATTTTTAGTCGGAACAATATTTTTCTCTCACACAAACCAGCTAATAGTACTTTTTTACGAACCAGCAACGAAATGAATTAGCCAACCGAACAGGCTGCAGATTTGGTGGGTACCACCGCAGCTTGTGGAAGCTGAGTCGAATGAGTCGCCGCCATGCTCCTTGGCCCACTCGGGGATCAGGAGAGAGCATGATCGGATAACGGTGTCAGATCCATCTTAGGGGCGGGCTCCTCAACCTTCTGGATGTAGAGAGTGACGTCTTGGGTTTCTGCAGGTATAGGTTCCCAAGTTGGTCAGCGATAAAGGCTCTATTCGCTTGTCTTATGAGCCGTACTATTTCAACGAACGAATAGTATTTTTCTCTTATAACAAATCAACGAACAATACTATCAGCCATGACTTTTCAGCAAAACGAACAGAGCCAAAGTCGAGCTTGCCAAAAGAGATCTTCTCGCCCAGCTGCATCTTCTCTGGTTCGTCGCCGAAGTTGAAGACGATACACATCTGAAATACAAAATAAATCTATACGCGAAAGACCCCTATCTAGCGTGCCAACTGTTGGAAGATTCAGCTATGGCAATGCCTAGTAAAGATGGCAACGGGTCGGGTTTGGGGCGGGTGGAGTGTCCGTGGACCCGCCCTTGAAACCCGACAAGGAAACCCGAACCCGCCCCGAACCCTGTTAGGGGAAAATCCAACCCCGCCCCCGAACCCACCAGATCCCTGAAACCTGACGAGGGACCCGAGACCCGGGACCGTAGACCATGAATCCATAGGGCCACAGGCGATTGGTGGCGGAGGAGGATCTGGGGGCAGATGGCACATGACAGAGGAGTGGTGGACCCGGCATGGCGGCATTCGGCGAGCCACGTCCGGTCGTCCTCGTGACCTCGTTAGGGCACCAGAAGCAGGGGTAGCGGTGAATCGACGCCCGACGGAGGGCCGCAAGGACGGTGCGGACTGGAGGATGGAGGCGGACCGGCGGACGCGGTGAATCGGCGATGGGCAGTGCACCTGTGTGGCCGTGCGGTGCGGGCGCGGAGTGCGGCTTAGCGGCTGCCGGCTGGAGTGGCCGAGTGGGAAGAGGACAGGAGAGGACACCCAGTCGTACATATACCTAGGGTTACATGTTAATGGGCTAGCCTTTGTTGGGCTTTTTTCACTGGACTCCTTACGTTTTGGGTCCCAGACGAGCACCCACGGGGGAATATAAAACCCATACCCGCCCCGCCCCTTTTCCGGTCCCCGAACCCGCAAACCCGCGTGTAACACCCCTGGTGTTAAGCATCACTAAAACTTGAGCATGTCATTATCATGCATGATAAGCATCCATGGTAGTCAACTAAGCTTTGCATCCACTAAAATCAATGTTAAATTGCTAGCAATGCAATGCATGTGTGATGCATTGAGTTCAAGCCAAAAAATATCTTTTAAGGTACTTTGCGACCTTCTATTTTTGAATTTCACCAAAGTACTTGAAATTATGCTCTAATAAACTTTGAGGTGTAAAGTCGGTGCTTTACACTAGTGTCAAGTATGGAGTATGAATTCAAGTCCAAACTTCTAAATTTGAGCTACAAATGTGAATTCAAAATGTGATTTCAACACAACCATTTTTGGCTAAGTTGTGGATTTCAACATTTAAGTTCCATTTTGGGGAATTTATTAAAATGAACTTCTCAAATAAACTTGCTTCAACCATTGTATCATTGATTGGTACAAAGATTGTACTAACCAATGGTGGTTTTGGTTGAGATTTTTGTCAACTAATTAATCACCAATTAATTCACCTAAGATGCTAAGTTAATCACTTTTTCAAAACCCTAGACTGAAATTGCTTTTTTAGTTTCAAAGTACTCTTGTTTGGAAACAAAGATTTTGAAAACTAGTGAGTTTTTTTATATCAGTTCCTTAAGCAAAGTTGGAACCTACATGAAGATGAACATGTCTTGTTCTTGGAGAATGTTGAGTTGATGTTTAGAATCTGGACAAAAAGAGGAGAGAAGATCAGGATTCAGGCGATACTGTTCATCACCGGCAACCTGCCTGACTGCCTGCTTCACCGGCGAGCCGCCGCCCTCCAGCATCACCTCTGCATGCGTGGACATGCAGCTGTTGCCATGTCCGAGCTCAAGCAGGAGCTGGCAACCGTGCCCGCGTCGACCTTGCCGTTATTAGCCCGAGTCGGACACCGTTCTCCTCTTTCCCTCTCTCTGCCGCCGCCGTCGAGCTCACTCTCGCCGGCCAAAATTCGCTCGCCACGATCACCCTTGCTGATTGCTCTTGCAGTTAAGTCCGCCTCGCCCTTGCGCAATTCTTTGAGAGCCCGTCAAGCGCCGCCCGCTTCTTGCCGCGATAGCTGTCAACGCGCATCAAGACACCCTCTATTGATGGTTGTTAATGTCAATTAAAAATCATAAACATAACCTACATATATGCTTAATTCCATCACCAAACATAATTATAGGGTTTGATTCTAACAAGTTTCACGAGTTTTGGTGCTATCACTTGTCTCGTAGGATATTTAATTTGTCACAGAACAAAACTATCTCAAATTATGAATTGGAGTGCACCATTGCTAAGAGCTTGTTGAGCTGATCGAAACGGATATATTATTTGCTATATTTGAAGCTCGAAATGAAAAGATATAAATTTCGCAAATAAAAGAAAAACTTCACATTATGAGCTACGGGATTTTAATGAGATATGGTGGAAAGTTTAGTACCAATGAGGCTATTCAGAGGGGAAGGGTGCCTGGCGCCCCTAATAAATTGTAGCCCCTACCGCCCTCCCTCAATAGATCTCTAAAACCCTAATTCATATCCCTCATTCAGATCAACACACACCAGGAGGATTAGGTCTATAGCTCTCCAATGTAGTAGATTAGTAGCTCAGGAGTGAGGGTCGAGTTGGGCTTCTGGATCTAGTCTTGGAGGCTAGGTAAAGCCTTGTATCTTTATTTCTACATCTTGTAAGACTTATTATCAATTTATCATATTCTTATCTACATGGCTATACTTACTTTGAATATATATCTTGCTTAGTTATGGTTATCATTACTTTTGTGTGTGGGTTCATAGAGCGCTTAGTCTGCTAGTTTACCGGTTAGGCTAAGTAGCTGAGTCTCATGTAAGCATGGTGCTTATACGATGCTCTGCCTGTGAGTGCACCATGTTCTCTGGTTGGGTGGTAGCAGCAGGAGGTGACAACCCCGTCTATCCTTTGTAGTCCACTCCGAATTGAGCAGGTTCTTAAATTGTAGGACCGTAGTCACGTCAGTAGAGTTATCTATTGTGGGTGCTCTACCGTCTAAGCGGCATCCTGAAGTGCACAAGAATAGAGTTAGTCTTAGCTATAGTTGGGTGTATATATACTTTGACCATGTAATAGGAATATCATAGGAATCTACCTCACCCATTGTTCTCCCGAGTTGACTAATTTACATTATGTTAGTGATCTATCCCCTGAGTGTCATTATGCTTTATTCCTATCATTACATCCACCCCTGCTTTAGCTAGCTGGTATGTTGATTAGTAGACATTCCTTTGTTATCTAATAAATCTTTACTCCATTGTTTCCCTGTGGTAAAATATAAATAATGATACCTGTAATACTCCCGGTAAAATGCTACAATAGTATTCTGTGCGCTTATGAAATCCTTCATATTCTATTTGCACTTAATAAATACCAACACCCTCCACCGTGGCCAGCTCAATCCGTGAGCCACCCGTTCAACCGCCTATAGTTCCGAGCTCTCCTTGATGCTATGATGCTAGTATGCTTGACCGTTGATCATGTCTTGGCTAGGGTTCGCTGGAATGTCGCCCTTGTCACCGGTCCGCGCCACCGCCATCGCCATCACTATCGTCAAGCTAGCTCTGGCTCGACTCCAACTCAACCAGCTAGCCGTCGAAGTCATGGT